TTATTGTTATAAACTATTAAATGGTTTAAGATTTTGTAATAATTGCAATAGCATATAAACCAATTCTGAATAAGACAATTTAATTTTTATCTAATCTTGAAAATTTCATAAATTTTGATGGATCAAATTTATTATATAATTATGTATAATACTGTATTCAAACTTATGATCATTAGGGTGTAGCAGTATCAAAGTAAGGTGTGGAAATATCAGTTTCCTAATTATAATATATATATCGATATCGATAACTTTTTTAAAATTATGAAGTCACGCTTAAACCAGTCACACGTTTTTATTGGCCGTACTGAGAGTTTTGATAGCATATCAGTATCCTACATAGGAATGCTAATGACTTGTAATGATTGAGCCGTAATCCTATATCGACATTAATTTATTTAATTAATATCATTAATAGTATCTGATATTTAAATAACGATGTCGTTAATGAATTTAAAACAGAAAATAGGTTTTTATCACGTGACACGTGTCAAAACATGGTGCCACCATTACAACACACTATTATAAAAATGGAATAGGTGCAAAAGAGAGAAATTGATCATTTTTTCAAAAAATTTTTCACATAAATCAACTTAGAATAAGGTTAGAAACGGTTTCCCACTTAAAACATAAAAATAGTTGTATTAATAAAAATTGATCTTTGGAAATATCTTTTTCTCTTTTTTTTTTGTAGCACTTAATCCATATCATTAGTACGGAGTTTATGTCCGATTTTAGTGTTATTATTATTATCCGCAACATTATGGTGAAAGAATACTATTTATATCGACATGTATTTTGTAAAAATAACAATTTAGTAATAAAGTAATAGGTGATAAATGAGACTTGAGATCAGATCACATATAGGAAAAATACGTAAAATGATGATGACCAATAAATAAATAAATAATAAGGAAAAGAAAAAAAAATTAGTTTCTTTCAAAAGATATTTATCTTTTTTTGTAAAAAGCCGTGTAATAAATAATTGGTGTAAAAGAAAAATTCCGATTTTAATACGTATATATTTATTACATTATTAATTATAAAAAATTATATAATCTTAGTATATCATATATTTGGAAACTGTTTTTGGCGTATCAGCTTCATTATATATCGATATATTTTAACCATAGTTGGTACAGAAACTCGGAATTAGAAATTTAGAAATTTAGAATAATTCTTAACCATGTACATTGAATGAGCTTCAATGGACAAACAAATATCCAATGAGCAATTGACAACCATGAATGAATGCTACGTGATATTTGAAAGTAAATGAAAATTCCATTTAGCATGGAACTTTCTTAGAGATTGTACCTGGGTAGAAAATGGTATTATATAGTTATATATAATTATAATAAATTTACCCGATTAACCGGATAAATAATTAATACTCGGCAAAATTTTTTTTTGACAGGTAAGATCTCTAAATTTTCCTGCTTTTCTTTAAATGTGACTAATGATTTACAGTAAGAGTAAAAAGATCGTAGAGTATTCCAAGATCGCAGTGGGAAGTCAGACACCTAATAATAGGTATCTTTAATAAAGATACAAATTCGGTAATATGTATTAATACATCATAATGCTAAATTCGTCTATATAAATCATTGGTATTGGAACATTTATAATGCAAAAATGTTAATCTTGTAATGTTTCATGTCCTCATACCCTTTATGTACTTTATTAAGGAAAACAAATATTTTGGATGAAATACATATATTCTATAATAAAGCGGCATTCGATCTTTCTTGGATCAAGAGGGTTTACCGCCATATATATATATATTAATTAGAGGCATTATCGTGCTTTCAAATTATTGGTTTTTTTGTGATCTCGGGTTAAGCCGATAATTTCGAGTGCGCAAGGAACGTAAACACATAAGACCACTCATATAAATTAATTAATAAGTTAAATGTCCGAATAAGGTGGAGATCTAAAAACATTGCATATTAATATTTATACAAAAGATGTTAGTGGACGATGGTCATAAAAATAATAATACTCATTGACGTAATATACATTATTATTCACGAACCTAATTTTCTCGAACGGTGTTTTCATCCGAGATATTTCGCGCTAAAAGTGTCACAATATTTTAAAATTAAAAATTTGGATAAATAGCGGATATTCCAATTTTCCAGGAAGCTGAATTTAAGATTAATGCATTTTATTATTTTTATTATTTTTATTATTTTAATTATTTTTATTATTTTAATTATTTTAATTATTTTAATTATTTTAATTATTTTAATTATTTTAATTATTTTAGTGATAAATTTTTTTTATCTTAAAAATTTTCATACATGTGGAATTAACAATCCGTCAATAAATATCGAGATATTACACAAAATACAAAATCTTAAACTACTAAACCAATTAGTAGATAAAATGTATACAGGTGGCTTGCTTTATAATGAATTATGGTTACAAACACTAATCTTTGTTAATTAATATACCAATTAAAATCTTTTTAATTCTTGGTTATCTTGTTATAAAGAAGCTTATATGTAGGACTATACAAAAGCTTACGATTAAGCTTTACTAATCATTACTAATCATGTAAACTTAAATATATTCAAAAATTATAAAGTCATGTGTCAATCCACACATATATTTACAAAATAAGTGGAATGAAATGAACTTGTTTAAACCATGAGCTAATCTGTATAACTAGTGTAACGTTTTTCTGGTAGGGAAAAAAAAAAGGTTATAAAAAAAAATTTACTCAAATTACTTACTATATTTAATAGTTATTTAATAATTGAGCAACATTGGAAGTACTTTTTATCCATGATAATTTCTTTTTCAATTAAGTGTACATACGTACATAGTTACTGAAATACCAATTATATTAAATTACGTGAATAAATGCTATGCAAAAATTTTAATTAGCTGCAGGCTTATTTATATCTGCAACATATTTGCTGCACAATGCTAATTATTGTGGCGTTTTTAAATCCTTATCTTTATGATGACCTTTAGTTATAATAAGTAAACTAATTTCAATTTTTTTTCTCCGTAAGATTTAACATTGCATGCGCATATAGGGTATTTCCAATCAAAGAAAAGAAAAATTAAACTTTCACATTGATGATCAATGCTACGGCTGATAGTAAGCACTTATAATCATACAAAATTTTTTTTACCCTTATACTGTAAAAATGTTGACGTGATGCCCAACTACAGGTACGATTGGCTGGTATTACTTAATGCCGACCCAGCCGATCAGATACCGACCCGAGTTTTAGGGTTCATAGATGGTACTGCATGACACCATGTATGTAAGATACACTTGTACCATATTGTACCGCGCTATCGATATTTAGTTTAATGCCAAAGTGATCAGCGAATTTCAATTTCTAGAATTTAGTGAGGAATATATATAAAAAGGTGGAGATGAGTATGTTTCTCAAATTGTTTACCGTCCAAATACCAAACATTAGATTCAAAAAAGGTGGAGGATAGTCCCATAACATAATCGGGAAATATCAAGAAGCGGTGCGGAAGTTCGAACATAATTATTGCAATTGCAATATTTGGGGAGTTAAATGCATATACGTATACTGTACTGTACTTACTACGTATACTGTACTGTACTGTTACTGTACTTACTACGTATACATGATACTGTACTTACTTCGTATACTGTACGTACCGGGTATGCACGTATCTGGTATCTGATATCTGATTCCTGATACTCGATAAATATATATATATATACTATAAAAAAAAAAAAAAAAAAAGTTATATCTGATATATAATTTACTAACATTTATTTGTCTGCTATTATCGTTATATTATATTGTTTCCTAAATACGCTAATATGTAAGATTAATAGATTAAAATTAAATTCACTTTAAGAATGCAGGAATGAATTGATCAATGAAATTATAATCGTGCTCTTATGATTAGTAGCCTTTAAACTTACTCTTATATTATTGGTCAAAATCATGAAAAAATTTTCCTTATGCGAGTAAACATTAATTCATTGAGTGGTTTTTTTTTTGGCATTCATTCATTATTGTACTATCAATCTTTTTATGATCAAAATTCCGGCTGTAAATAAAAATGTCACTTGAGTAAATCTACAATCTCCGAGTCGGAGATTGAAAATTAGCAAGATATTAAGATATATATTATATTATGATATTATATTATGATAATAAAGGCGACGAATGGAATTATTTTCCGATTCATTAAATTTGAGACTTCAAAAAGTGTTTAATGTTAGTCTTTCTTTTGGGTTATGTTTCAGACTAATCCATTTCATATATTGTACAGCGTACATTTTAAAAAATTAATCAAATAATTAATCAAAATAATTCATTAGATAATTCATTAAATTATTCATTAAATTATTCATTAAATTATTCATTAAAATTAAATAATTCATTCAAGTTTCAAAGTTCACAATGATTCTTTAAATATTTTTAAATACGCATTTCGTTAAACGTTCGAGAACACTTTTATCAAGAAGATTAGAAAGAGCTTGCACCGCCATACATACATGCCCGGCAAAATAAACCTAAAAAAAAAAATAAATAAAAACTAAAAAAAAAACAAATTCTGTTTATAGAAAATGAATCAAAAATAAAATTTTGCAAATATATTATATACAAAAATATGTTATTCATTAGAATAAAGATTAAAAAAAATTTTTGAGATATTGATAAGAGTTTTTCCAGATTATTGGTTTTAAACTTGGAATTTGCCAGCAACTTCACCGATATATAAGTTATATAAATAAATAAATATTGGTAAATATATAACCATATATATAATATATAAATAAAAATAAATAAAATATTGAAAATTTAATCACATATATAATATCACCAATATATTTATATATTATATATTTTAAATTAGATTTACTATATATGCGTATCACCTATAACTGATAAAAAGATCACCTGATGGTTACTCCAATTAAAAATATAAATACATTAGCAGGGTTCGCGTCTTAAAAAAGAGAGAAAAGATTTCTTCGCCCCGTATTCCCGATGCCTTACTATTACGTTGAGCCTTATTACCATGCAATGGATGAGTCACTAAATGCCGACATATCCAGCATTAATAGTTCTCCTATTTTATTAGATAATAATGAATCTGGTAATGTGACAAATTCCATTGAAACCACTTCGGGGTTGGTCCAAGATCATTCTCAACAGTCCTTATTTATAAAACCTCCTTTTCCTCCAACAATAAACATCGATGACTTGGTTACATCTAAACCGAATGGTGATAAGCCTTCAAAATCAAGTAATGCCTTTATCATTTATCGTAAGGTCTATGTTAAAGAACTTCACTCACGAGGAGTAAACCTTCAAATGACTCAAATATCACCTATGGTTTCTGAGTCTTGGAAACAAGAACCTGAAATTGTAAAACAAGAATATAAAAAGCTAGCGGAAGCAGCAAAAAAAAGATATAAAGAAATTTGGCCTTCAAAACCAAGACGTCGACATCAAAGAAGGCAACAACCACAGTTACCAATGAACCGTCCATTACATTCTATTGAATCTTCAAATTCGATCCAGACTTATTCATCAAATGAATCGTTATCTTCTACACCTGCAATAGAATTAAGAGAATCTTGGAATTTAATATCTCCTTCTTACCTAACACTTCAAAATTCCTCATATGGTTCTTCATCAATAGTAGATCAAATATATTATGATCCAAATGCTGCTTCCTCTCGCCCAACTATTGCTAACTCTTTAAATGTCCGTAATCAACCTATGTTAACTCCACCTGAAGAAAATCCTAATTCACCAACAAGTTCAACTTTAACTCATTTGACACCGCCGAATGGACAACATACAAGTGAAATTAGCTTGCCTGAATTAACTGATGGAATAAGTTCTTTAAATTCTTTACAAGATTACCATCGAGTTATGACTAATTGGCATAAAGACTTGAAACGTCATGATATTCACCCGTATCAATCTTTTGATGCCGCTAGAAGCGTTCCATTTTTCACTTCTCATTTAGTCTAATGGTGGTATGATAAATTAGGACATTTATTTTTGCTAAATTAGGACATATATGTATTTTATGAACCCTGAAAAAAAAAAAAAAAACAAAAATTATGAAATCCACATATCCATGTGGTAAAATGGTATAATGTGCGTAGAAATTCTTTTTTTACTTTTTGTTTTTTTTTTGTAATGCATGAAAAAAAAACTGAATTTCAAATTAAACATTTATTTCTATATTTCTTTTTTTTTATTTTTTTTTGTAGCGTAAAAAAAAAAATTGGATACACATTGGGAGAGGAATCTATAATAAGCATGCATTTAACCTATTATGCTAATATTTGTGCTAAGATTATGCGTGATTTGAACAAAAGAAAAGTTACACATCCCTTGGTCTTTAGATTTAACGTTCAGAGGGTTACTCTACATTATCATTTACAAAGTTTTTTTTTTTTTTTTTGTTTTTTTTTGTTCAATCTCTTTAAAAATATTATGAACTTAAAAGTCATTAAGCTTTTTTTCAATATGTTGAAAAAAGATATGCAAAAATAAAAAAATGTCGTTTTGTCGTTTTGTCTTTTGTTACGAAAATGTTTAAGGAATGTCTTTGTTTTTTTTGTTTTTTTTTTTAAGATCGCGCGTTAATTGTTACTGATATTCCATATATATATATGACAACCAATCTCTTACAAGATGAGATAATTTTTCTATGCAAGTCACTGTTTTAGTTTAAATTAAAGATGCCGAAATGTTGAATTATCGTTAGCATTTATTTTCTAAAAGCATGAAACAATTTTTATAAAATATTCCTAATACATATACCTTTCAATATTACCAATCGGAGAGTAAT